GATTAAAGAATGTTAGCTACCGCTCACCGCTCGTCTGCAGGCTTTATTTAAGTGGAAAACTTCCACAACATACTGCTAACATGAGCATAAAAGGGTGGGGCTAAATGCAGTGATGCTAGCATTAACCGTGTTAGCACGTTACCTTAAACAGTTGGTTAGTCCACAGGGGTAGACTCGGAGATTCAGCTATTCATTTCATTGCAGAGAAGCTGAATCAATACTTCAGCTAGTTCCCAAATTTTTAAAACAAGTACCTGTACTTCTTCTCAGCTACAGAATGTCTTTACCTTTTGTCACCTGTATTCAATTTTTAAGGTGCCACAAATTTTTAACTCCACAGCATGCTGATTTATGGCAAGGTTTCAGTTGAAACCTATATGGGAATTGCATGGTTGGTGCAAAAAATATTAGCAGCCTTTTGCCAAAGCAAATCAGTTGTTTAGTTGAATCTATGAAAAAAAATGTGCATTTAAAACATTTTTTTTGCTCTAGGACATGAAACGGTAAGATTGACTCATGCAAGCAGTCCTTTGCTGACAATGTGTTTAATGTAGAAAAATGCAATGCCAAATCGTTTCCCTTCTTTTCATTACACTTGAGCCTTTGTGTGTGTATTTAAAAACAGTTTTATAGGCTTTATGAACTGGCTGCAGCTGTCTTGAATTCGGGGTCTTTAGAGAAGAGTTCATCCACATTTTTATGCTTTCCCTCTGTGGTGGGGCACTGGGCAGAGACTGAGGTTGGGAAGGGCTCGATGGTGGGCTCCATCTGTCCAGGAATCTGTGGGTCGGGTTTAAGTGGGAGAGTGACTCCAACTCCAGGGCCACCAACTGGGACATCAGGGAAGGAAGGCAGGGTCATAGGCTGGCCCAAGGCGGGCAGGACTATCACTATTCCCTGTGGTTCATTGTGGGGTGTGTTCTCATGTTCGTGCTTGTGGTGATGGTGGTGGTGCTCGTGTTCATGCAGGTGATCGTGCTTGTGGTCATGGTCCAAAGCCAGCTCGTGGTCATGTTCATGTGTGTGCACACCTTCAGCGTGCTTATAGTCGTGGTGGTGACTGGGAGAGTCATCGCTGTGGTTGTGTGCCTTGTCGTGATGAGTGTGCACGTGATCGTGATTCAGACCGTGGTCATGGGAGTGGTCATGAGCGTGCCTGTGGGCGCTGCCTGTGGCATGGTCATGTGTGTGGTGGTGATCACGGTCATCAGTGTGGTTGCTGGTGTGGCCATGATTAGAGCTGCACTTGGTGTGATCGTGTGCGTGGTCGTGTGTTTGGTCTTGGTCGTGGCTGTGTGAGTGTGTGTCATTGTGGCTGTGGTCAGTCTCTCCGCCCAGCAGGTGGAGCTTCTTCTCTCTCTCAGCAGCCTGGAGAAGAGATAAAGAGTGTAGGATATTAAAGAGTGAACAGTGTATTATAGGTTTGCAACCTCTAATGGCCATGTGAATAAAATATGGGCTGGTGCTTCCATCTTCAGATTTTCAAGGCCCACTTAATTCCTGAAAATAACAAACAGCAATTCTGTTTCTTTTTAACTCTTCTATCTGGACAGTTAGAGCTTCAAAATAGAGGTGTACCAGGTGTGACTGAGAATTTTGACAGGCTAAAGCACTGTAGCAGATCTGTTTGCTAAACTTTAGGGGAACTGTGTTAACAAAACTTTGGATGTGTCCATCTGATTCTGTAGTTTAAAAAAACACATCCTCATTGGAGGTATACAGCAAAGACATGTATAAACAGTTTGTGTTAATTTAGTGAGTTCCAAA